CAGATTGATGTCATGTGAAGTTTTGTGCTGCAACGAGACATGCTAAGAGAGAGAGAGAGGCGGGCGTGTGCGCGCGCACCCCTCGCGCAAATGTCCATTTACTAAAAGCACGCACACGTAAAGACATACATAAACACGCACACGGAAAGCATCAGTTTTCAATTTCAAAGTCAAACGCACGGCTATAAAAGGCCTCATTCATTCCGCCTGGCAAAATGTACACATTTAGACTCCAACAGACATGAAAAAAATAACATACACGGGGGAAAAACAACACAGAGAGCTTTTGGAAAAAGATTTAAGGGGAAAAAAGGGTCAGGCTGTGGTGTATATTTTGCATTAAAGTTCATGTAAATGTATAAGCCACATGTCATATTTAATCTGCGGTTGCATGTGTGCGCATGCTTGCACTTATTTTTGTATGTTTGTGTACGCGACTCAAAAACGCGAGCGCCCTTCGGAGGTCCAAACAGAGTTGTCGAAAAAAAAAAACCTAACAGAGTGCCAATTCGCGCATGCAAATGAGCCCACCCCAACATATGTGTCCAATGAAAGGTGAATGGCCCTCCTGTCTATACTTTCCTCACAATCAGCCATGATGTCACCATGAACCCTCTCTGAACCGACCTCTGTCAAAAAACATTTCGCTCTCTCCCTCTCCTTCGCTTCTCATTTTCCACCTTTCCCTATTGCACTCACCAGGCTGCCTCCCTCCAGTCCGAATTCTTTTGGTAAAACCACATTTTTTCTTTCTTCTTTCCCTTCATGCCCCCCCTCTAACTCTCTCTCTCTCTCTCTCTCTCTCTCTCTCTCTCTCTCTCTCTCTCTCTCTCTCTCTCCTTTGGTTTTCTGGTCCACGCGCATTCTGTCCCTGGCTCTCGCGCTAATTGAATCAGCACACGTGAAGCGCACTGCCAAAAGTACCAGGATGTTCTGATTAAGACGGACTTTGTTTTAAAAGGTGGGCTTTTCAAAAACCGTTCGCGGGACTAAGGGGAAAAAAGCAAGCCGGGAAAATAGGCTGTAGTACGGCTAAAAAACAGATAGAAGTCGAGGAAGGAAGTCGCTAAAAGACATGGAGAGAGAACGAGGAGAAAGAAGGGAAGGAGCTAGAGAGGGGCTAGAGGGGGCAGCGGGAGAAACTGCCAGATCCACATATGGAAGCAATTCAGTAATTGAGGCAAATCTTTGTGCTCGAGAGGAAAGGTCCCCTTCTCAATGCCTTCTCCTTAGCAAATAAAACTACCATTGTACACTGAAAAAAAGAAAGACTTTGAATTAATGTTCACTCAGAAATGTCTAGTAGCCTAGGCTAAATGTCACAATAATTACTAAGAAATGGCATCTAATTCACGAGTTCACACTTACATCAATTAAACAGAGTAAAGATTATGCGTATTTGGCGTGCTGTCCGGGGGGAGGGCTCCGAGCTCGGAATTTTGCCCGAACCCAGAGTACTCCCCCCGTTGTTGTAAGAGTATTAGGACTATGAGTGAGGAGATGGGGTGGTGGAGGGATGCTGTTAAACTGTCAATGAACGGAGGTAAGTTTGCTGTATATATACACAGCGCTTAACTCGTTGATTAAGCACCACTCGTGTCTAATTAGGTTTGATTATCTGAATGTGCTCCACGTGTGTTTAATTAGGTTTAATTATCTGAACGTGCTCCTCCCGAACTTTGTTAATAAAACATCATTTGAATTAAACAAGTATTTTTTGAAGTATTTTCTTGTAAAATGTACTCTAATAGGCCTAAGCTTTGTTTTATTTACAACTTCGAAAACTAAGGTTTTTTTATTTATTTTTTAAAAGAAATATTGAACTGTGATCAGATAAGAGAATTTTGTCATATAATGGGGCAAGTTGTCACATTTGAAATGTTGTCTGGTAAGATTGATATGGTAAGTTGTCACATGAAAAAAAAAAAAAATCATTAATTACTCAACCTCATGTTGTTCCAAGCCCATAAGACATTTGTTCATCTCCGGAACACAAATGAAGATATTTTAAATGAAATCTGAAAGTTTTCTGTCCCTCTGTTGTGTCGAAGTCTGTTCCCCCTTTGTTTCCTATAGACTGTCTAACCCCAACCCTAACCCACCAGTGGGGAAAGGGGAACAGATTTCAAAATAAGACCCCCATTGACAGTCTAACTACCACTTTGTCGCTTACATTTTTTTATAAAGAGATCATAAAACTCATTCATATGCATTAACACGATTGCTTTATATGATGAACATTTTGAATTTAGGATTTTATTTTTAATTTTATTTTTGAATTTTAGGCTCAAACGTGCTGCGTAACACGAGGATGAACGTCATTGGTTCTTGATGAAGCTCAAACGTGCTGCGTAAACACAGAATAAACCTCACTGGTTCTCGCTCCATCATAACTGATTTGTGCTTTGATGAATGTTTATATGTGTACAAAAGCCTAAAATCAATCTGTTCATCATATAAAGCGATCGTGTCTCTACTAAACCGCTTGATTCATATGGATTAGTTTAACGATCTCTTTATGAACTTTTTGAAATGTCAAAGTCGTCTGTGGAGGGACAGAAATCTCTTAGATTTCATTAAAATATCTTGATTTGTGTTTTGAAGATGAACGCAAGTCTTATGGGTTTGGAACGACATGTGGGGTGAGTAAATGATGACATAATTTTCATTTTGGGGGGAAATAAGCTTTTAAGAAGTTATAAATCATGACAGGAGAGCCTAATCTGAAAGCATTTAGAATCTGAAAGCATTTTGTAAGTCGCATCTACACTTTCCTCTATTCCTCTTCACCACACTATAGCGCGAGAGCTTGGTTTAAACTTGTTATATTGCTCATCAGCCTCAGAGAATCTGGCATGACTTCACAAACAGAGATCTTTCAATAAAAGAGGGAAAGAGTTTGAGCAGGTAAGTGTTGGTGGGCAGGAGAGAGCAACAGAAAGATGACAGACACTGATGGCTGTCTGCCTAGCCCGAGGCACAAGGTGTTTCTACTGTGTGCATGTTGGCAGCAGCCCCTGTTCGATTCCCAAACACTGCCGCTCTCTCTGTAATTATCGGCGTGCCCTGCCATAACACGTTCCTCGGTGCACGAGTCGCCCACAGTCATGGGTTCATTGCTGTGGAACAGATCTCCAAATTTAACACAGCCAATTAACCCTGGCAACTGTCAAAACACCACAGAAACAGGGTTTACGTAAGGCGAGGCATTCTGTTCAGATTATTTCTATCTTGTGCGAAATGTACCATTTAAATCAAACTGTCAAGCGCACAAGCTGTAAACAGGGGTTTTTATGGATTCAGAACAGCAAGGTTCATGTCTGACTGGATTCTTCTCAATGTCCAACCAAAGTCCTTGAAAGGAGGTTCATATGTTGAGTTGCATACTGCATTTAGTCTCTCCTGTTGCCTACTGATACCACAAACTATCTCAGATACTTAGTACACATAGGCATATTTTGTGTGTATGGAGGAAGGGCGAGTGGTTTCACTTTATATGTAATATATTATGAACTGAGGAAGAAATTGAAAGGGAAGTTTGTGAGTGATCTCTTGGTGTGGGTTAATGCTAAATTAAGATTTGAAGTTGTAGGGCCTTAAGAGCCAATTCTTGCATTAAAGCTACACCTAGCGGTCAACATAGGAAGTACAACGAAAAGCCTCAACATCAAGCAATCAGACAGTAAGCCTATTAGAAAGCACTGCAAGGAAAAAAAGAAAAGAAAAAAAACCCCACTGTAAACAAGAACCCTTTCATAGGGATTCATTATAATTAATTTAAATTTTACGCACTTTAATTGTTTGTAAACACTATGAATTGGAATTGTGTGTTTCGCTGGATTATTTTAGTAATTTATAACCTAAAACTTCGTAGGCTACAAGTAGCACAACACTAGTTTAGAAAATATTAAAGTGTATAAGACTTATTTATATTGTTTACAAGGCTTTGTAAGGATAAAGTGATTGGTCGAGTTATATTAAGTTTAATTCTAAAAAGCCTAATTTGCAAGACAACATGCATTCCGGTTTTACCTTTTTAACTATTTAAAAAATACAGGCTATATGATTTTATATAGCCAAATATCATGTATTTTTTTATGCCAAGTAAAAAAAAATATATATTTATATTTTGCAAAATATTTGTTCAAAAACTACCACAACAGCATAGGCTAAAAAGTTTTTTAATAGGTGTAAAAACAGCAATGCGTGTCCATTGACCACAAGAGGCCGCTGTTTTCCGTTTGTTTCAGTTTAAACTCGATATTGTTTACAAATCATTATCCTCAAAACTCTGTTTCTAATAAATTGAGCACAATGCTTTCGTTAAAACAAATCCAACTAAGAAACTAAAAAAAAAATAAAAAAAAATACTCAAACGTGTGTGTGTGTGTGTGTGTGTTTGTGGCTAGACCGGGGCTAGTTGTCACAGGGGGAAGTTGCCACAAGAGAGCTAGGCTATAGCTCAGTAATTGTACCTACACATTTGAGTCCAACGTTTTTGTTTATCTCTAGCAGGGGGTTGTGTGTGTTGTTTCAAAGCCCCTTTAAATTGGAATACATTCTTTGAATTCTGTCCTCGAATCTAAAACTCCTATATCATATTTTTGCTGTAAATTTAGGCAAGAATCAACTAAACAATAAAATTAGATTGTGGACTTGTTTAGACCAGATACGAGCATTTTGTCGTATGTTATGGGGCAATTATCACATTAAAAAAAATATTGATTGTTACATTTGTTGGTCAAAACAATGCTTTTTATATTGTGTAACTTATATTTTACTTTTTTGTATAGCCTAGAGGACTATCATATTACTTTATCTCCAATTCAAGTGTTGTTATGCTCTTGTTTATGCCATGACTCCATGTATTATTCACATGACGGAAGAGATTTTAAAAGAAGCGCGCGGCAGCAGTCACGCAAAGCCCCGCCTGCAGTACATGTGCGTGCCTCTCATGTCGCCCGATCTCACGCTGTGTTTTGCAAAAGAAATGTGTGTCAGTAGGACAGCGCTTTCCGCGGCACATGCGGAGGGCACATGCAGCGTGGCTTTACCAGCACGTAGCTCCCTCGAAGCACATGACTCATCCAGCTCAGCTAGCCGCTCACACACCCGCCAATGAACATGCACGCTAGGATCAAGAGGAAAAGAGAAAGCTAGAGATCATGGGCACGTTAGAGTGAGATAAATCCCCGTCAAAGAGAACAACAGATGTTGACGGCTTCCCTAAATCCAGTCACATTTGCCAGTTTACCTGAAAACGTGATTTATGTGGGTGTGGAAGGGTGTGTGCTTGGCTAGGAGTGGAAGTGAAGTTTGACAGTCCCACAGAGATGCTGATGGCAATGAGACACCACCACTAGGCATACCCACTCACACTAGCTCAGGAACAGAGGAACACAGGACAGGTAGCAGCGCGCGGAAGGGGCATCTGCACACCTGTGACAGACTGTATTTCCGAACGACTATTTGGCTCCGCTACGAATGCTCTGTGCGAGAGATACTTCGAGCTGCTCACTGTATGCACTGGCATTTCGTGACTTTTTTACCTGCTTTCACCAGACTTTAACACACTGACACAAACAGACTTTCTCTAAGACAAGATTTCTGAAGACAGAGGATCTTTGAAAAGCATATCAAGGATGGATAGTCCTGGTAAGTAATAAATTCCTTCTTGTTCTTCTTCTTGCTGATATAGTCTATTATTATGATTATTTTAAATAGGAAAAATAAAAATAACATTGGTTGTATTTATGTTCGTGCTTAATACCACAAAATAATGATGATAATATTAAAAAATAATAATTTCATGAAAATAATTCAGTGCGTTCAGTGCATGCTTTGCTCTGATAAGGGTTATTATTATTATTATTATAAGGTAACACTTTAGTTTAGGGTACAATTCTCAATGTTAACTAGTTGCTTATTAGCATACATATTTCATTGGCTGTTTATTATAAAGCACATATAATGTTTTATTCTGCATGATCATATTCTACATGCTTTAATCCTACACAATATTTAAACTTATAACTAGCTTACTAACTATTAATAAGCAGTAATTAGGATTTTTTTTTGAGGCAAAAGTCATAGTTAATAGTTAGTTAATAGTGAGAATTGGACCCTAAACTGAAGTGTGACCTATATTATTATTATTTATATATTATTGGTGGCAATGGTTTTTGCCGATATAGCTGCGCTTCTTAACAAATTGAGTAATATTCATCATTACTGTAAATATTCTGGCAATTTATGCAAATGCTTAGCTCATAATTAAGCATATTCATGCTGTGTAATTATGATTTTGTCTGATTAAACTGTTTAGATGCACAATGCAGTTAACAGAGAAGGTTTTTATGCTCTTTCGTATGAACTAAACTCATAGGGAAGGGGTTTTACAGTGTTGTGATGAATTATGATACACATGGTTTGCAATATATGATCTAAGGATGTGTCATGAAGGTATTGGCTTGCTTTGATGATTGCGCTGGGCAGATTCATCAGTGCAGCATACAGACTACAAAGTGCATCTATGTATAGCATCAGTCTACTGTGTGAATCACATAAATGATGGAGATAAACATTACCATACTTAGAGTAACTGCTGTAACTGCTGTCATGAACTCTGTGATTGCTTTCATGGAATCTGCTTAATAACACGCACATGTGCTGACAACTTCCTGCTATAGCATTGAAAACAAACTCACGTGTAGATGGTCCAAGCTAGAGATAAGAGTGCTGTTAAACTTGGCTCTGGCTTATGAACACACTTCACCAGTGTAAACTAGAGTATTGCCATTAATCATGAGACATTCAAAACAAACTGTTTATGCAAATGTAATATAAATAGAAAAGCAAAAAAAAAGTCAAAAGACATCCTTCACAGTCCCAGCACTCAGGGAGAGTTGGTGGGCTCTTGAGGAACATTGGAACTAATGCAATATTTCATAAAGTTTATAATAATTTAACTTTACTTGAGCGTGCACTATAGCCTTCATCCAAGGAGGTTAACCGGTTAAGCGGATTTGGGTAGTGGTTCATTACCGAGGTTAGCCAAGGGCCAATTACATGCTGGCTCAGTCAACCAAGTCCACTTCAATGTTAATTTACGGCTGGTTCATTTACAAAAGCTGCAGTCACGTTCCGGAACAGGTGATGGAAACATTGTCTCATGCCTGCATGGCGCACCCTCTCAACTCAATGAAAACAAATATGAGGCACAATAACATTCATTAAAGACAGGGAAATAATAACATCTGAACACATGACCTTTGAGTGGTAGACAACAGGAAATAAAGAAACAGATTTATTTACTCAGAAGTAAATAATGGGCTTGCCTACACATCAATTCATACATGTGACTTTGAGTTTAGATCCAACCCACATGGATTTGTATTAGGGATGCAACAATATTGCAATTTTGACTGATAGATACTGATAATGTCCCATTACCAATATCATGTTTGTTACTATCTAAAACGTTTAAAAAAAAAATACTGTTCATACTCACATGCTGCAAGTGAAATCAGGCTTAATCATTTTAATGTACAGTAGCCTACAGTAGGCTATATTTGAAACTTGAAATATGAAAAAATATCTACATTCATAGCCTATAAGCAGATTCAGTCTGATACTGGTAAAAAAAAAGGTCGGTATAGCATCTCCATTTACATGAAGGGAGCGGAGCAATTCTAGTCTATACAATAATAATGTTTTCAGGTATCCTAACGTAACACAAAAAGAAACAGATATATACAAATCGACATTCATCTTCAAAAGGACTACTGGAGCATGTACACCATTTTATTCCCCAACTTTTTGTCCCTTATGCAAAACTGTTGAACCAATTATGGTTTGGTTTACTAACCTACTGACTTCAGATGCTTTAGAAAATCGCTTATGAAATCTCTGCTGGAAATGTGATGTGAGCTATTGTGCAACAACAGGACCTTGAATTATTTTCATTATATGGCCAGCTTTATTTTCATTCTTCGTGAAAAGCAACAAATATGGTAGCCTATATTACGTTTATGGCACTCTGGAACATGTTCGTGATTAAATGCACATCACACATTCAGCCTATATCAGTTAACACCAGTTCATACAAGGTGAATTAGAGGTTCCAGATGCGATTTACGCCGGATAACGGACCATCCACCCCCCACCCTTCGATATAGCCGCTTGCTCTATTTTATAGAGCTTTTGGGTTATAAGAGAGGAGCGAGGCGCGCGCGCATTTTCCCACTGACTGAACGCATCCCTCGCGCCTACAATCGTCCTCACGTGCATGCGCTCTCTCAGCCGCGTGCGGCGCGTGATTTCCACGCCCCCGCCCTCACCCTCACCGCTTCGTTCTGTGATTCTATGTTTTGGTGCAGATTGTAAGCTAGAAAGGGGGAGGCTGGTCAGTGGGTCAGCGATTCCATGCAGTGTAGCGCCTCATCACGTTTTCCCGCCTCATGCAACTTTTTCTTTGGAGCGGTTCGCATAAACAGCTTCATGACAGCATGAGAACATTTACGAAATGCCCTACCCAAACGTAGGCCTATATTTTGCGTTCTATTTGAGGGCAGAACGGCTTTTAAACATTTGTATCGCATAGGACCTCTTTTTTCTTTGATTAGCCTATCTATCTAAAATCTAACAGGTGCTTGCATGATCATATATTAATAGTGTGTGCAAAATGCTTAGCATTAGCAAACACTAGCTATAAAGCCAGAACAGATTATGAAAATATTTAACATAATGGAAAATATTTATTTTGTATCATGTAGGCTATATTGTGTCCTTTTTCTACCCTATAAGATATATTTTTTTAATTCAATAATTTTTTTATAACACGGCATAATAAATATTGTTTCAAAGCAGCTTCTATAGTGCATGCCTATGTGAGCAAGCTAACTCAAAACTTCAACAAATACAAACTATAGGCTACTTAATATACATTACAAGGAGATATGAACATTAAGAAATAAAATATATTTGTCACAAAAAAGCAATATTCTCACTCAATATATTTTTGTAAATATTTAATGAAGCCCCCTTTGGGGTTTGAAAACTCTGCCTTAAATGGTTCATATTCATTTTCTTTTGACCCACTTTAAAATGTCAGTTCTGTCTGTATTAACCCAATTAATAAATAATATTATAGATAAGTTAGCATATCTCCTTCAATAGCAAACAAACTACATGCTTCTACTCAAAACAAAAAGTGAAAAAAAAAGTTTTTTAAAAAGTGAAAGCATGTGCTTTTTTCTTAATAATAATAATTTTACTTATACAATTGGAATAAATTTCTTGCATCCCCAACCGACACATATGCAGATATGTTAAGATGTTGTACATCAAGTCAAAAGCACAAAGCATGCGGTTATGCAAGACAGAGCATTTCAGCTATTTTCCTCGAGGGAGGGAGGGAGGGAGACCATGCCAGTGTTTGAGGTCAGGGAGGAGGGAATTATTGTCCCTGCAAAGTCCTCACGTTTCTACGCTTGTCTCAGCTCACTAGCAGATTAGTGTTTGCATGGGTTGCCTAAGCTCACAAAGAGCTGCCAGAGACCTGCTGATTCTTCAATTAATGCTGGTGTTTCCACTGACCCCAATTTATACAGACTTGCAATGACGTGTGCATGGCTCCTCGTGTAGCTTTTAGAAACTGCTGCACTGTCCCTCTCATTACAAGCTGGTTATTTTTATAAAGGGCAAGACAAAGAAAATGATATCGCACCTACCCATTTCAGATTAAAGTTTTAGATTGTTTTGCAATCATTTGAAATAAGTGCAGCTGCGCCTCACTATTTGTTTAAGGGGCATGTTCTGTTATCCTTAATGCCATTGTCGCTTTAAACTCTGTGGCCTCGTGTGTGTCAGGTCAGGTGTGAGTATTTCTGTGTAGGTGGGGTTACTAAGCATGGGCAGGGCTGAGTATTGCTCAGGTAGGGCTCACTATCACAAGGCTGTAAAATCCAGCGCTGTAGTATGTCAATAATAAGTCCCTGCGCTGCACATGCCTGTGGAGGGATCACGAAAACACTTGAGTGCAGCATGAGAAAACACACAAATGAGCAGGCCAGAAATTTGATGGTAGTTTGAACTTGTTTACTGCATAAGGGTTCCAAATTATTTGTACACCATAAAACAGATTGAAAAGATAGTAAGAGGAAAATTGTTTAAGGAAATATTTACCCTATTGTCATTTCTCATTGTACACAGTATAAAGGCATAGTTCACCTACAAATTTCATTTTTGTTATCATTTACTTTCATCCTCATGTTGCTCACAATAAAAGTGGAAACATTAACGTGCATTGCACAGGGAAAAACCAAAAATAGATACTCGCATTTGCAACAACATGAGGCCGAGTAAATGTTCAGATAATTTTTGGGTCAACTATCACATTAAATGCACTCTAGGTTTGTGTCAGTGTGAATCAATATATTCTAGTGGTGTGTGCTAGAGCATTTAAGGTTATTAAAAAAAAACTAAGTAGGCTACACAATTTGCCATATACTATAGATATTAATGATACCTCAAATCATGCTGAATGCTGAGAACATGTTTGCCATTAGTGATCTTATGTACAGTTTATTCCCATACGATGACAAAAAAAAATCCGTGGACTGAAAAGGGGCCTTGAACGGAATCAAAACAACATGAGCTATTTTGACTCTTGACAGTAAGCAACTACCTATAACTACTGGCTTAAATAAGCAAGAACCATTTTTGTGTAGGAGAATATAATTAATAAAATATTTTGCCTGTTGAAAACCACTACTGGATTACATTGTTAAAGAATCATGGTGCCAGTGATTCCCGAAACATTTTGAACAGTGCAGCTCTAAATCACATTCTCTTGGTCCAGAGACCGACTGTGTCCTCGGGTTGTTTAAAAAGTTAAACAGAAAGCCCCAGTGCACATTCTAACAAAACGTGACTCCTCGTTGCCCCGCTCTCTCAGGCAATGCATCTGTGTGGGGGAACTGTAACATCATCGCAAAGCTGACACGGCATCCTCGCGATTGTTGTAGCGGTTTACACGAGACTGCGGATTTAGTTTGGGCAGGAACGGTGTCAGGAATCCATGTGAAGCGGCGGTCAGGTGTTTTGGAGTTTGGTTGGGGCACTATGCCAGGGCTATTATTGGAGAGGAGAGGCGGGAGAGCTTGTGAACACGTGAGACCGTGTCTCAGCTCATCCTGCACGCATGACCGGAGAGGATGTGATAGGATGCAGAAAACCAGAGGGAGAAAACCTGAAACCTGCGGGGAAATGAAAATAAAACAAGCCAACGGTTTTATTTAAAATACATATGCCTATTAAATATGCATATTAAAACCAAAACATACAACAAATCCTGGGTTATTTAACGTTGCACTATGTTGCTGTGCAGCCTTCATTATTTTTAGCGCGTGAGATCTGAGCGACTGAGGGAACCTCACGCACTCCCAGTCAGTTTTTATTAGCCTACATCACCTCCTTCTGAAAGGTGCTGTAAGCGTTTTTTATGTATTAAATATCTTGCACATAATGACTCTATTTACGGGAAAGATTAAACAGGCACGCAATAGTGTTGTCAGTAGCCTATTTGAACCAGAGATTTTCAGTCAATCGGATCACATACGACTCGGACTGAATCAAATTTGATCTGATTTGCAAATTAGCCAAATGCAACAACCTGATTTGGGAAAAGTTCTGTCATGAAACTCTAGGCATAGGCTCATAATTCCTAAACCCAATCTGCTTGCAATAGACCTACAGCGCCATCTTTGATTTTTAATAGGAATGAAAGCGAGGCTGTGAGGGACAGACATGCATCTCTTCAATGGCATGTACTGTTATTTAATGTGTTTTTGGATTGTTCTGCTCTTGAAACACTGGAAAAATATCGGTAACGCTTCCTTTTACAGTGCTGTTACCCATGTACTTATTATAGTAATTATAATGACTGGGTAATATACTAACCCTGAACCTACCCCTAAACCTAACCCTAACCCATGTACTTACCTTATATTAGCCAGTACTTTCTAGGTAAGTACACTGTAAGTACACGTAAGTACTGTACTGTAAAAGGAAGCGTTACCAAAATATCTTTCCAAGAAATTTCAGTTGACAAAATACTCGACCGACAATATAAGCTGTGGAAAATTGTAAGTAATCTAGGAGCTTTATACAGCTTTTTTACAGCGGATGCCATTGGAAACACGGCAAGTCTATCCCTCACAGCCTCACTTTCATACCTGTCATGGCGCTGCTCTGAATAAGGTCTATTAAATAATTCTCTATAGGGCACAGCTGATTGGTTCCCACTGAATCAGTAGCCAATGAGCTTGCTGCTCAACATTATAATTATTGCCTATTGTTTGTTGTAGCAGTTTGCTGCATGCTTTCAGAAACTCTCCTCCTCCCCAGCTCCACCTGTATAGATCGGTGATTCATGAATGCTTGTACAGCAGCAGCATGTCTTTCTTGCTCATAGAAGCATGTTGTGTGTATTGCCAGTGGCAAGTCCCGTACTTGTTCTGCAGCAGCAGCCGCTGCGTAACAGATCTATTCCACCAAGACCAAACACATTAACATTATTACCATGCCAAACTCTCTGAGAGTTGTCATGACAGAACAATTAACCCTTACTTTTGATTAGGGATTTAACACGTTTAAAGCCAAGGTGTTTTAAAGAACCAGTTTAAATTCATTTATAATTTATGCGATTGACTGAAGTTCCATTTTTAAAAAGAAATTCAGTCAAAGGCTTTATATACTTTTGTGTTTCTACAGGGAGTGTGATACTCTACGCTGGTACCAATGGCAGTGCCTGTCCAAGCCCAGGAAGCCCTTCTAGTGGCTATCAAACCCAGTCTCCATCTTGCCACTCCCAGCCCTCTTCACCAGAGGAGGTCACCTTCACTGAGATTGGGGCCCTCAAGCAGCAAGGAAGTATTGGATCGCCACCTTCTCCAAAACGGGTCTTTCAGTTCCCTGAAATCTACAATAACTCCACGGCAGGATCAAACCCGCACAGCTACTCCCATCCAATCGCCGGTAAAAGGCCTTGTGGATTCACTGGCACGTTTACCAGTAAGTGTTTTCCCTTTTTAATACCCGCAACACACTCAGTCAGCATCTTCTTTCATAAAAGAATAATGAGTCCCTATTATTTAGGACACCTTCTTTGTGTTCCTTTACATCCTGACCTCATTCTCTCCATGTTTCTATTTTTATCTGAGCAGAAACAGGAGGCATGGTGCTCCTTTGTAAAGTATGTGGAGATATTGCATCAGGGTTCCACTATGGTGTCCATGCATGTGAAGGCTGCAAGGTAAGACATAATGAGCCTCTGATAAAATAAACATACTGTACATAAGTCTTTTCTAGCATTTTGGTTAATTATAATGTTTGTCTTTCATTCTTTGCAGGGCTTCTTCCGCCGTAGCATTCAGCAGAACATTAACTACAAGATGTGCGTGAAGAACGAGAACTGCCTGATAATGCGCATGAACCGCAACCGCTGCCAACACTGCCGCTTCAAAAAATGCCTGTCTGTTGGCATGTCCCGCGACGGTAAGAATTTTAGGAGGTTATCAGGTCACTGACATATGACAAATAGCGGAAAGTCGTACTTTCATCTCATTCTTCAGGCCAGCACCACACCCGCCCCCTTCAACCTACTTTCCTCTTTTAGACTTGCACCATTGGTAACTTTCAAGAGAGCAAGTTTCTTTTAGTTTGGCTGTGCACTCGTTTCTATCTCTAGCTTTGCCCTTTGTGGTCCCTCCTTTTTCTCGCTTCCTTCTCTCCATCGGTTTACCCTTCCCCCTCACACGTTCCCTAAGCTCTGCCTCCCGATCCCTCCTAGAGACAATGATTTATGAGGGATGGAGTCACGCAGTCCCTGAAGCTATCTGTCATCTGGAAAACTGCAGCAAATACAGGAATTATTTTGAGAAATTGGAACACGGGCGACTTGATTACTTCGCTCATGGCCTTATAACATCCTCAGCAATTAATGTTGTTCTGCAGCAAAAATTAAGCAAGGGATGCAGAAAAAGACACACATCTGAACTCTTCTGAAGAACAATGCCTCATCCATTTGCTGTGATTTAACTTTAAAAACACTGGAATGAAAAATAAATATGATGAATTTTAGGAAATGTAGCAAAATAAACTGGGACCCATATTATACTAGTACATTGTGACCTATTTAAGCTCGGTTTGACTTCTGTCAGGTTCTCGGTGGCATTTCATGCAGTGTTTACCAGCGGATGTGCGTGACAGTGTAGGCTAGGCTGTGATCAAGGATTGCACTGGATGTTGTTCTAAGAGGGCACCAACAGAAACGAGTCCATTGGGTGCAAAGTGAGGGAGGTAAACAGTCATTTTTACCATGGTTCCTGAAAGTGCTAGAGCCCACAACCTAGAAACCTGTTTCTCTGACTGGATCTTAGCACAAACAGGAAAACCTCATTTAACTGCCTCAAATGCCACAATAAAGCAGACGCCCTGATTTCACTTCTGTCAGTTGTTTTAATTTTGGTTGTGTTATACAAACAGATGTTTGGTTTGACACGATGGGCCGGCATGGTTTCACTTCCGCTATGATCTTGCTTTTGCGCAGACAAGTAATCAGTGCAGCTATATGTGTCACACATTGTTTTGCACAGGATGAACCTTTGTTGTTTTGATATCAGATTCATACCAACATTTTAAACCGAATTCTGGTTTATCAAGTTCAAGTAAAATTCAGATTTGGTGTGTTGGAATTTGAATTGGCCACAGGAAGTTGAATTGCAATTTAACAGGCATTTTTAATTCAATTCTGAATGGTGTATTTAACCATATTTATCATGCTGAAAGGTAACGCACACAACCAATGCATGTTAGTTGCAAAGAGCTAAAAAGATGTGTCCCCCCATTCTTGGCTCATTTTCTCATTTACAGGTGTTGTGAGACTTATATGATATATTGAGCATCGTTCTCACATCTGGTAAAACCAGTATATACCACAAACCCTTACGTCTACTGTCACCTCAATCTGCCAAATGACATATTATTCTCTTCTCTTCTCTTCTCTTCTCTTCTCTTCTCTTCTCTTCTCTTCTCTTCTCTTCTCTTCTCTTCTCTTCTCTTCTCTTCTCTTCTCTTCTCTTCTCTTCTCTTCTCTTCTCTTCATCACAATCATTAGTTTCTCTCCCAATTACCGTCGCATTGTCATCAAGTTCTGCCTGACCCAGTGCCCTACTTACAGCTTCAGAGAGGAGTGGAGTAGCATAGGGATGAAGATTGGAAGGGGAGGTAGTGACGGAGAGAGAGATGAAGAGTGGGGGGAGTTAACACATTGTTGCAATGGTGCTATTTTTAGACTCAACAGCTGACAGATTTTCTTTGCGGAGGGGATTTTAAAAGATGCGAAAGCATAGAAAACAACACTGACACATTTAATGTTCATCCATAATTTACACCACAATGACCAAAAATTCAGCATACCGTTGTCAGTACTGGATAGCGAGTTGTCTCTTACACTGTGGCTGTGCTATTCAGAAACTTCCAAAGCAATTTTCATACAATATTTCATCAATTTTTTCACACTAGGTTATTTCTGATGGCAATATTCACTTTATTATAAATGAAATGTGTCATGGACATTTTGATTACTGATCAGCAGGATCTCTAGTAAATGCAGTAGTTTCACAACATTTTGTATTCTTGACTCTAATTGAGATGAGTTGTCTTTAATACATCTGATCACAGATATTTATTTTGTCTCAAAAATAAAGACAACATGAAAAGAAAATTCACAATGCATTTAAAGGGATAGTACACCCACAAATGAAAATTCGATCATTACTTACTCAACCTGACTGTCTTTCGACTGTAATATGAAAGAAGATACTTTGCAGAAAAAAGAAAGTTTTTTGTTCATACAATGAAAGATGGGGTTCAATGTTGTTTTGGACCCCACTGAGTGTTTTGCTGTCTGAGTGTTTCACAAAAGAAAGAAAGTCATACAGGTTTGGAACAACATGACTGAGTAAATAATGACAGACTTTCCAATTCAATTTTGGGAAAACTATCTCTTTAAATTGCATTATTCAGAGGGGAAAAAAGTTATAGCATTATAATAAAACATTTTCTTTGAAATAACATGCACAGGTGAACCAGGCACAATAATGGCAAATGAATTTATTAAGACCTCATGTCTTTAAACCTATTGTTTCTCTCTCTGACCCCTAGCTGTGCGTTTCGGCCGCATCCCCAAACGAGAGAAGCAGCGGCTTTTGGATGAGATGCAGAGCTACATGAACAGCCTCAACGAATCGTCCACCATGGGCATGGAAACCTCCCCACCACTTGAACCTCCTCCCAGCCCCAGCGAGAACCAATCCAAAGAGGCTATTGGTGCCTTATCCCGAGCCTACCAGAACATCTTCACAAACACGCAGGACCACCTAAGCAAGCGTGCGGGCAACAGCGGAACGAACACCTTTCAAAACAACCCTTCTCAGGACAGCAACTATCCTCATGCAAACTCTCTCGCAGGGTACCACGCAACTACCCATGAAAGCTTCTCGGCACCGCCTAGCTGCCCAGTTGCTTCCAGCGACAGCAAATGCCCGCTGTCATTGGTGGACAACAGTCGGTATAGCTACGCGCCTTCATTCATCCAAAATCACTCCCAGTCTAGCGTTAGCCAGCCCTCACAACCCACTCACGCTGATTACAACAGCTACGTGGCCGGCGAGTCCCAAAGCCAGGCCTCGTGTCCGTTTAAGTTGGCTGCTGGCTCCAAAGTGCTGGTGAGGAATGTTTTACAGTACTTGGTTTTACATTACTGAATTCAGATTTCATCATGAAAATTTTAGTTACACATTACACATTTTAGGTAATATAATCTGACTACTTTTTAGATTACTTTTGTCCTAACTTGTTTCATAAGTTTAGCTTAGTTTAATCTTGTACCATATTGATATAAAAAATACAAAGAGAATTAATATTTATGCCATTCTTTGTTATCAACAACATATTTAACGTTAACATTAAACGTTACATTATGTCAGGGTTTCCTGAACTGGGGTTTGTGAAGGAACTAAACTGGATTCCTAAATTAATTAATTAAAGGGATAGTTCACCCAAAATTTAGATAATGAGAATGTTTCATTATAGCAGAAATTTTACATTTAAGTATAATATAAGATCAAAATACAAGAATAGACCAATAAGTTAAGCATATGTGCTAAAAAAAAATGTCTATGCTGCCTCTCTCATAGGCCTGTCCGCTGAACGCATGCCCCGTGTCAGCACCGGGCGTCTCCAGTCAGCAGGTGTGGGAGTCTTTCTCACAGTGCTTCACGCCGGCTGTACGTGAAGTGGTCGAATTCGCAAAGGGCATTCCAGGCTTCCAGGAGCTCTGCCAGCATGATCAAGTCATGTTGCTCAAAGCAGGCACTTTCCAGGTACTGATTACATAACCCATTTAATTCCCCTGACCTTGGCTTTTACATCCCTTTTATTGCTATTAAAGAAGCACAACCCAAACAGATTTCCCAATTCGTCCTAATTCAAACTCACGCCATTGGTTAAGCCAAAGGTTGACTTGTCAAATCACTCAAAACAAACACAGCAATGTGTAGATAGTGGTGCAGTGTTAAGCCCCTTAGGGACATCAACCTAAATGCTAACTTATTGTTGTCTTTTTTGAGAGTGAAAAATACACACATCATCTGGGTCAATCTTTTCACTTTCATCTTTTTTGGTTGCCTTTTGCAGGTTCTTATGGTGAGGTTTTGCTCACTGTTCAACCACAAGGAACGATCATTGACTTTCCTGAATGGGCAAACATACCCGCTGGGCACCCTTAGGGGTCTGGGTATGGGCTCCTTGCTGGACGCCATGTTTGAGTTCAGTTCCAAGCTGAGCTGTCTGGACCTGGAGTCAGATGAGTTGGCACTCTTCATGGCTGTGGTGCTGGTTTCTGCAGGTAAGAGCAACACTGGAATCAGAGTCATTAGTTAATTAGTGCTATTTGCTATGGCATGAATCACAGGGTTTGCTTTCAGTGGGAAAGACAGTATATAATTATTGCTCATGCTTAGCGTTAGTGATTTGAACGAATTATTTATAATAGCGATGCATATTAAATGCAATATTAAGATTATTATTTATGTTCTAGCCTATAAGCCAAAAATGTCAGATAAATAGCCAAAATTATTATTTTAAAATAACACTGTTATAACACATTTTTCATATAGTGCCAATAGTTTTTAAAAATCAATGGGGTCCAAAACAACAGTGAACCCCACTGACTTTCATTGTATGGAAAAAAAAACAGACCAAAAATTAAAAAGCATTTTTAAATAACAAATAAAACTCTAAAAATCCCAATCAACCAAATATAATGCATATACTGTATAATTAAAAATACAATATTGAATACCGATAAATAAATAAAAAATCTTATTTATAGGTAACAGATATTGTGACTATATATATATATATATATATATATAAAATATTTTATAATTTATTTTTACATAATTTTTCTGTTGGTTTGTGATAATAAATGTTTTTTTAATTTATCCACAGATTGCTCTGGCATTTTGGATTTTGTGGCTGTCGAACAGTTACAGGAAGGACTCCTCCGAGCGCTGCGCACCTTAGTCAACCGTCGCCGTCCCGACGACAACTCCCTCTTTCCCAAACTGCTCCTGCGTCTTCCAGACCTGCGCACCCTCAACAACCTTCACTCCGACAAGCTGTTGGCCTTCCGTATCGATCCCTGAGCTATCAGTCGCTGCAGCTGGAACTCAACCAAAGGCCACGACTGGCCAATCAGAGAACACCTTTCCTGGTTAAGAGAAAGACTGCTCATTTTAGGGGGAGGCGTTGAGCGTGTTCCCATAGGAACCATTGGTTATGATGCTTGTTAATGAGGAACACAATGAACAGATGGCTCTCAGCAAGCTCTAAACAAGACTATATCTTCATTTAAGCTTTCACGGATCATTTTCATACACGCATTGCCCTTCTGTTCGGCTCGCCTGGAGAACAACGTTGATTATATTTATCCGAGGGGAAGTTTTGCCAGTCATATCATCATAAATAAGCTCACCACAGAACTTTTGAAGACCAAATAAACGGGTCGTTCCTCTTTACTGCCTGCAAAGTGAAATACACAGTCTTTAGTCAAGTAGACCATGTATACAGTAGAAAGGTAATTTTAGGGACCATTTAAAGCCAATTGTGTCAGTGTATGTGCCTGTGTGTTTGAGAAAGGGACAGAAATACCATGTACATAAGCCATAGATATCACTTATACAGTTACATCACATTAAAACTTTAGTTTGAGACAATAAAGAATACATTTAATTACTGGAGATTTACTGTATCTGCAACAACCATTTAAGTTCTTTAAAAAAATAAAAGAAACAACTGAAACATTTTAACTTTTGAGATTAGATAAAGCTGTCATATTTGTTTGTTTGCTTTTTTATTATCATCATCAAGATGAATACAGTATATTTACACACATTCTCCTTTAAGAATATATCTAAATCTAGGGATACAAAACCAGCATTCTCTCCTATGCATGTTATGTTTTGTTGTTTTCTTACTGAAAATACTGCACGTTACAATGATTTAACTGCTTGTTCAGAGAATGAGGGATTCGCAGTCGTGTGTTTGAACGAGACGGGGCGTCAGGTGCCTTGTAAGCAATGGACTGTTTATCTGTGTGTTGTGAGAACGAGCCCCTGAACTTCTGGCACCAGCACAGTATCTGTACAGCATTTACTGAGATCACAAAGCATGTCAAGAAGGCATTTTTGACTGCCATGTGGTTGATTTGATCAGTTGAGTTGATTTTTTTTATGGCTGATAAAGTTATGTTATTCAATGGAAATGTATATTTTGTAAATTGTTTTCTTCTGTAGAACCAATATAAATACAAGATTATCTATTCTGATGTTGTCTGTTTTGTTTTTTAAAGCTATACACACTCCCTTTGACATTTAGTTTTTAAAAAACACAGAAAAACTTTTTTTTTTTTTTGGTGCTAAATGGTTATTATTGGAAACCATTATACATAATTAACAAATAGAAATTCTAAACATTATAAATGTCTTTAATGTCACTTTTTAATACATCCCAAATTCTTACTTGCCTAGTACTGGTAGTATATCACAAAAAATGTTAAGCAGCAAAAACTGTTTTCACCATTGATAATAATAAGAAATGTGTCTTGATCACTAAATCATCATATTAGAATGATTTCTTAAGGATCATGTGACACTGAAGACTGGAGTAATGATGCTAAAAATTCAGCTTTGCATCACAGAAATAAATTTAATTTTGAAATATATTAAAATAGAAAACAGTTATTTTAAAATGCACTAATATACTATATTTTTACTACAGTATATTTTTGATCAAATAAATGCAGCCTCGGTGAGCTTTGCCTGCTGTAACATATTGCAGCATCAATGCATGCTTTATTCTTTCTAAAGATAAATAAGTATTAATGGTTGTCATGTTTTTCCTCAGTAGACTTTATGTCAGGAGCTTTTTAGAGTAATGCAGCAATGGTTTTAACTGGCCTGAAACTGTCAGTCACGTTTTGGTTGTCAAACTGAGTTAATCCACTTTAATTCAGGACACTGTAAAATCATAGGCTATTTAGTCTTTATTTCTAACAGAATCAGTTAAAACACATGCATGTAGCCAGATTCATTTTTTTATTCTTATGCTTTAAAAAAATATTTTTAGAAGCTATCATATTTTAATGGTATTGTATTGTCTTTAGTTAATCTGAGAGCCATTAGAGATATTATCCATAAAATTATTCAAGGCATTGCTTTACATAGTAAACGGTGTTATAGTGACATCGTGTGGCCAGCCACAGTAGCGAAATGGCATTTCGTTCATTCACGCTTAATCCAACGTTGCCTGGTAAACTTGATGGAGTGTCCTGCTACATACCCTAATTAATATTGTCAGTCAATCTCTGCCAACAGAATAATTCGTTTATTCGGCTCTGGTTTATTAATCGTTGCTAATTAGAGAGCCCTACTGGGTTGAACGCCGTAATACGTCATTAATATTTATAAGCTACGCAAAGACGTCCTTCGTGTGTTTTGCGTCATTACGTTTGAGTAACCCGGAAACACACACGGATATTGTAGATCAGATAGGAAAATATTGCAGACATTTACGCTGTAAAATCACCTGAAATCATGGCATAGAAAAGGTTTTTTTATCTCCCAAAATCAGCGAAGAGTTTGCAAACTCTTTTGGACAATGTTAAGATAGTAAGGTAGGTGTATTTAAGGCTTTTCTCTCTCTCTCTCTCTGTATATATATATATATATATATATATACACACACACACATATATATATATATAAGGCTTTTAACCAAACATTTATGGATGTTTCAATTTTAAGTCAGTCAAGTTTAATCTATCTATCTATCCTATCTATCTGCTATCTCTCTCTCTCTCTCTCTCTCTCTCTCTCTCTCTCTCTCTCTCTCTCTCTCTCTCTCTCTCTCTCTCTCTATGTATATATATATATATATATATATATATATATATATATATATATATATATATATATATATATATATATATATATATATATATATATATATATATGTATTGATAGTAGCCATGTGGTTCATTTCAGAAGTCAAGCTGTCAGTCTGACATGATGATTTCTCCATTGGGTTCATCCAGAAGTCGCATGATGAAGAATGTCATTTTTGGTAAGAATTGTGTTGGTACAAAACTATTGTTATTAACATTTATGGTCTATATAATGCACTTCTTACATAATTTTTCATTTTTCTCTTTCCTCAGATGAACTATAGATTTCACTGGACCAAGAGCTGCTGGAGGATGATGATCTAGGATTATTCAGGATTTCTCCAGTCCCCTGAAAACTTTTGTCCATCATGTTTGTGACAGCATACCTGGCATTTATAGTTTTGGCAGGACTGTGCGTGGCTTTAGAGATTGCAGCCCGTCGTCTCACCTCATTCCAGGCCACACAGACAGCTGTCGCCAATCCGGCATTCCAGCGTTTTCAGAAGCTCTTTCTGAAGGCGTATCTTCTGGCCCTCTGGGCAGACTGGCTGCAGGGACCTTACCTTTATAAACTGTATCGACATTACAACTTCCTGGAGTCTCAGATCGCCATCCTATATGTATTCGGTCTGGCTTCTTGCGTGCTATTTGCCCCAGTGGCCGGCTGGCTACCACAGTTTCTTGGGCGAAGACAGACGTGTCTCCTCTTCTGCCTGACCTATTCTATCTGCTGCTTCACCAAGCTGTCACAAGACTATTTTGTGCTCATACTAGGACGTGTTCTAGGAGGCCTGTCCACCTCTCTGCTAACCACCACTTTTGAGGCCTGGTATGTGCACGGTCACGTTGACGTCCATGATTTTCCCAAAGAATGGATTCCTGTCACCTTCGGTAAAGTCGCAAATTGGAATCACGGACTGGCAGTTGGCGCCGGGCTGGTGGCGAATCTGTTTGCCGAATGGCTTGGGCTGGGGCCGGTCGCTCCGTTTCTTTTGGCGATCCCAAGCCTTGCCGCCTGTGCCTGGTTTGTGCTGTCCGAATGGGGTCAGGAGGACAGACAGGAGAGCGCACACGGAGACAAGAACGCCCCCCTTCTCAACCCTCTAAACGCCCCCAAGTTGCAAATGTCAACGCGGGCCCGTTTCTGGCGTAGCTGTGTGGACGGCCTGCGCTGCTTGCTGTCTGACCGCCGCGTTATGCTTTTGGGTGGCGTTCAGGCACTTTTTGAAAGCGTTCTCTATATATTTGTTTTTCTTTGGACTCCTGTACTGGACCCACACGGCCCGCCGCTAGGAATCATTTTCTCCAGTCTGATGGCGGCCAGCTTGGCCGGCTCCACGCTTTTCCGACTGGCCACGTCGGCCCCGTATCGACTCCAACCCGGTCACCTGCTCTGCTTAGCCGTTCTACTAGCTTTCTTCTCCTTCTTCATGCTGACGTTCTCCACGGTGCCCGGCCAGCCCCGGCCGAGGGAATCTCTTCTCGCCTTCCTTCTGCTGGAACTAGCCTGCGGGCTTTATTTCCCGGCGGTAAGTTTTCTCCAGGGCCGTGTGGTTCCCATGGAACGCAGGGCTGCCGTGCTGGCTTGGTTTCGTTTGCCTCTTCACCTCCTGGCTTGCCTGGGGCTGCTGGCTCTTCACGGGGAGGTGTCGGGGGCCGGTGCGGGTGAGGCCGGCAGTGGCACCAGACACATGTTTGCAGGCTGTGCAGGGATGATGCTGGCCGCTCTGCTTGCTGTCGTCAGCCTTTTCACTGTGGGCAGGAATGATGCAGACCTCAGACTAGAGGGGACCAAATTAGAGGGAGAAATCTGAGTAACACTGGATTTCAATATAAGGACTGGGGTTATTTTTTTGTATGCTTTGTTTTCTTTATGAATGTTGTCTTAGTTAAACAAATGTATTTAATGGTAAAACTAATCAGAAAGAACATGGCTTTATTTTTTTTCTTCTAACTGCAATGTCAATAGTACCAATAAACACCTTCAAATCTGATTATGTTTATACAAAAAAAAAAAAAAGAAGCAATCCATCCAGAAAAGCAATTATTTAAATTAAAATATGTTTGGGCATTTTACACTTCATTTGAATATTGAATATGATCAGCAAATCAATTAAAAGTTATTTTGCAATAAAGACTCATTTTAAATTTACATTGCAATTATGCATTTGGCAGATTCTTTTAAGCAATTTACATTGCATTAATGCATTCAAGGTACAGAATACATTTTTTAGCAATTCATGCATCAAACCTTGGCATTGATAACACTAATTCTGCAGAGTCCAATGCATTTCATTTTTTTTTTTTTTAAATAGGCGTTTGTTTCATTGATTGAACAGCTGTTTTTGTACTAAATGAGATCATTGCTATATCTAGCTTGTGCTGCACACAGACCATACGAAAAGGTTAAGGTAAGCATTTTCATTTATTGAAATCGATGGCAACTGAACAAATTAAGGCTCATGAACAAACATCTTAGAAACCACTGTAAATAAATGCATATTTTAAAAATATAAAAATAAAAATTACAAAATAAAATAATTTATTGTGAAGTCTAATGACCACAGATATCAATATATTTTTCATGTATTAATTTAACTTCCAGTCATTCCGTTTTAGAGTAGGGATCGCCACTTATCTCAGTTTATATCCATCATTCCATAATAAGTGTATTTCTATGTGAGATTCGAGGTGTTGAGATATTAATCTCAGACGTACTGTACAGCAGTACATAAAATGAAATAATACAGAGTATTAATACATCTGCACAGTTGTATATGGCTTGTGTGTGAGGTGATATAGAACTTCATATAATATTCAGTTATATTCTTGCGTTTGCTGGCAAACACTTAACGGTCTCACAGTTTTTTTGTAAGTCAAATTAAGATGACTTAAGAAGAAGAATGTACACACTCCTTTTTTTCTGAACACTACTGAAAACTTACAAAGAAAGAAAAAACTGTCATTGTCTTTGGCTATAAACCCATTGCATCAAACAGCTGCATGCTTAAAAATGGATATGCTAGTTTAAATGGCCATTTGATCTTTATTATAAGCCTAGTTTTTAACTGAATATAATGGTGTGTTTGTTTTCACACCAAATGTCCCAGTATCTTTTACACTCAGAACTGGCACTTCACATTCACATTTCTACACCACCAACATTTCAAGCAAGAAACTTTACTCATTCTGTGGTTTAGTAGACTTTTGAGAAATTTTGCTAGTGATAACAAAAAAAAAAAAAATTACATAGGAAAGAAAATGCTTAGATTGGCAGTCTTGTATGAGGAAAACATTCTGTTCTCTTTAGTGTTTTCGGTTTTTGCATTCTTGGTAAGATGTGTAATATTTAGGCCTCTGAAATGTTTGCTAGGACTGAAAATTGTGCAGTGTTGGATTCTGCTAATGAACAGCTTTTCACATGTAAATGTGCACTAAAAAGTGAATGAATGCTGACAAGTTTTGCAGAATAGTCTCATAATTTTGAGTCTTTTAAGTGCAAAGTGTTTGGAAACTCATCAGTGGCTGGTAATACAAAAAAAGATGCTTAATTAAGAATTCAGGGTACTTTAAAGGTGCAGTAAGCGATTTCTGGAAAACGCTGTTGCAAATCAGAAGTAGGGGACGTATACTCAAGATGGGGGAGGAAAGAGAGAGAGCAAGAGGGAGATTTGAAGAAAGAGTAGGGCTGGGTATTTTTTTGATATAGATACCGATATCGATACCAATACCGACACCTTGATACTTTTTCAATACCACTTTTATGAAATCTGTTTTAACAAGATTACATTACATATATGACCTAATAAAACTTTTATTTTTTTCAGCCTGTTGACTTTTTTTACAGACTCAAAGACTCATATAGGCCACCGGGGGGCGGAGTATATGCCTCGCTCTCAAACGCACGCATTAAGCTTGCCGCAAAGCACTGGCAAAAGTAGCCTAATGATTATGAATGTGTCGGGAAATAATAGCATCTTAATTGTTTATCAATAAACTAGTGTTTTTTGAGTCAGTGTTGGCTGCAAAGATGAAGTTTACGATGCTGACTCGTCATCTCCGCAGTATAGTGGACGTGTGCGCGCCTATAGAGAGCACTGTTCATTTAGATTACATAATCAGAGAGTATTTGTTTTCGATTCGAATTGGTTCGTTTAAAATTAGACATTTCAAGCTTTCTATATGCTTATTTCTCATGTCTGTGAGGCAAGAAGCCTATACGCTGAGGTTCGGTTCATTAGTGACGCGCTCCAGTTCTAGCAGTCGAAGACGGAGCAAATTTCTGCTGTAATTTTATTCCGTGCACTGTCAAGTGCTTCATCAGATTTGTTGTGTTTCTGGTCTTGGCATCAATTATCTTGTCGCAAATATGGCATCGCGCGCTGTTGGCATCTAGCCTGGTGAAATGTAGCCACACTTTTGATCTTTTCCACATCTTTTCCATCTCTGGGGGTTGGGACGCTTTCACACTACAGCCTCACGTGTGAGACACATCTATCTCTGGGCGTAACCGCCGTAAACTAGTGTTTTTCCTTGATGTCGCACCACAGCCAATCATGCTGCATGCTTATTGGCTCACTGACATTGACGAGATTAACAACTTAGGTATCGAAATTTGGTTCCGAACGACAAGACTCGATGGTATCGAGGCAATTCGGTCAGTGCCGCAGCCTCTAGCGTCAGTCGCTAATGCGCCTCTTGAGATCAAGGGAGTGAGGTTTACCGGCACAGCTCTCACTAACTGGCCTCTCTTAAACTCACCCCCCCTAAACCTCACTCTCATATGGGTCACGGCACCAATGTAACCCCTCCGGTTCTAATCGCCCCGCTTCAAGCAGGATTCGAACATCCGGTATGGGAGGTGGGCAGACTAACAAGGAGGCTAAAGACCTCAGCCTCTAGGGGGCGGAGCAATGAAGGGAGGGGTCTGTTATTTTTGGGTTGATATAAAATATCAACAGTATTTGGTAGGGGCTGGGTATCGATTCGATTCCGATTCACAAGTTCTCAATTTGATTCGATTCTCGATTCAAATTCACTGATTCCATTTTCACTGGCCCTACCACTAAGTTATAAATAAATTAAATAGTTATTGTTTTTGACCATGTATCCTTGTATTTTAATAAATAAGGTTATGACACCCAAAATTTTAGATACCATTAAAATTGAACAATTCTTGATTCCAATTTCGATACCACAGCTAAAACACTTTTAATATAAATTTCAAATCAAATGTAAAATAACACTGCATATAATCTTCACTGTACAAATTAAATAAAGGTTCATCCTTATTAAAGTTACAAAAACGTTATTCAGTGAAGAACAGGGAGTGATTTCTTTGTCTTTTGTAGTTTGACTGACATAAGAACACTGCTGTCACTTTAAGACTAATGCAGGGATACAATATAATGATACACATGCGTTCTTTCTCTACTGTTTACTTAAGCCAGAACTGACTATGTTTACTTGGATACTCGTGAAGGCGGGCATTTTTAGATAAGTTTGTGTGAATTTGACGGTTTAAGCGCAGAGAGAACTCATTTTTTTCACACTGTCTGAGACGTGCAGCTGTGTTCGCTTCGGGTGTGTGCGCACACAAAACTTCTCACACAGCGTGCGCGAGTTCTTTTTCGCTTAAATGCCGATCGGGACCCTTATAGTTCCTTAAACTGTCCGGAACATCTTTCACGCTGAGAGACGCACCTGTATCTGCCATGTTCAGCACTGAATGAATGACAGGGTCCCCGCTGTAACAACGTGCAAGGTAAATAAGAGGATGAAATCTAGTGGAGAAGACTAGTAATAAGATTAACATCAATCAAATATTGGTCAATGTTTGCGGAAATACATACACAGATCGATTTGTGGCTTTTGAGAATCGAAATCGAATCGAGAACATTTTTAAAAACGATTAATCGAAAAATCTTTTTTTTTTTGCTCAGCCCTAGTGTTTGGCCCTGTCCCAAATGGAACCCTATGCCCTTGCGATCTTCCACTCCGTCCACTTTTGTGATGTAATGCCGCTTTGACCATCTAGCTGAAGTCTGCTGCGGAGCTTGCAGGCTCAGAAAATATATGCATCGAGGGGGCATATCGGCCGAAAAGACGGCGCTTGCGAGCACCCTTCTGAAACCTAAAATGACAAATGGGACACCCTACAGTCTCGTGGACTTAACAGAGACGTGCACGCAGAGGCCATTGTAAGTCCACAAGACCGTAAGTGCATATGAAGTGTGCCATTTGGGACAGGGACTTTCTCAGAAATTGCTTACTGCACCTTTAACAAACATTATTTTGGGATTTAAGTTTATAATACACTTTGTCCATTGTGCTATACCCTATAATCGAATACAGGTGTCTTAAATGTCAGAATGTGTAGTGTTTATAAGCTGGAAAAAACAACAGAAAATAGTTATGCTGTATGCAAGCCTAATATGAATAAAGTAAACCAGTAAATCATAAAAAAAAATAGAAATGAAGGCATCATTTACCAGAGAAGGTGCTGTTAAGAAGAATTCCTAGTCTTGGAAAGTTCTCATTATATATTTATTTAAGTATTCACCCTAGTAAGTAATAGTGTTGACCTCTGTATATTGTCTTGATGTTCCTGCTCTCGTAAAACAGTTACCGAAAAGTTCAACCATCGCACAGATACACAGACACAAAACACTACAAGAGCACATTCACTACATGTATTTCTTTTTTAAAAACCAATAGGCAAAATAGCCCATCCCCCCGAGAGAGCCCATTAAGAAGGACGCCCCAAAGAAGGACGGCGGCTTCTTTTTTACCATTCGGAATGCATTGGGTAGAACTGCCGAGAGCAGGGTCGTGTGGATGTCCCCCAACACCTTGCGGAAAGCGTAGCGCTTCTGCACCCGCTCAAAAAACGACTGCAGGTTCGGCCGGCTCCCGTCCTCCCAGTATTTCCTTGAGAGTCCCAAGAACTTGAGCCTGTGCAATGTGGCTCCAAGATAAATATCAGCTAGTGTAA